GTGTTATACTAATAATTCTTACACTTACTGTATATAACACTTTCTTGACACTCCACTCAAAGTGCTTTACAAGTAATGGGGACTCCCCTTCACCGCCACCAATGTATAGCACTTACCTGGATGATGAAACGGCAGCCATTGTGCTCCAGCACACTCACCACACACCAGCTCTCAGTGGGGAGGAGAGCAGAGTGATGAGGCCAGTTCAGAGATAGGGATTATTAAGAGGCCATGATTGGTAAAGGCCAATAGGAAATTTGACCTGGACATTTTTCGAGGGATGCCCTGGGATTTTTAATGACTACTGAGAGTCAGGACCACAGTTTTACGTCACATCCAAAGGACAACTTTTTTATAGTACAGTGTCCCCGTCACTATACTGCGGCATCAGGACCCATCAGGTGAGTACTCCCTACTGGTCCCACTAACACCTCTTCCAGCAGCAAGCTTAGCTTTCCAGAAAGTCTCTTATCCAGGTAGTAGCAAGGCTCATGGCTTCTTAGCTTCAGTAGGTGTCAGTTGTGAGTTGCAAGGTGATTTAGCTGCTATGTCTGGCACAAGACTCACTTGCGTCACCATAGAAGACGGATATTCTAAAACCAAAGTGAAGCGGTCTTATAAGAGGCAAGTGAAAGTCCTTGACTTGACTTGTCCTTGACCGCAGTCTAAGTCCTGACTGAAATCTAATAGAAAATGTATGGCAAGGCAGGACATTTGCAGCCCATCAACTGTTCCCAGAGAAAACCTGTCAGAACTAGATTTCAGAACTAAATTTGCCAGAACAAATCAACAACTGTTAAGTTCCTAAAACTTATGAAAGGACTACATAATAAGGTAATTGGGCAAAATCTCAAAGGAATAATAGGAAATCATCGGCATAAACTGAGATTTGGTGCTATGAACAGTACTGTATGTTTTTTAATGTTAATGGTGGTGGTGGCCAGCAAAGTGCTTGTGTTCTATTGAAATAGCAAACAACAGCGAGGATAAAGGACACCACTGATGAGTGCACCAGCAGACAGAGAACTATCTGTGAAGAGCACAGAGCTATCCTTACGTGTTCATTGTCACATCTTGGTTTGTCTGAAAACCTGTGACCCACAGGTGCAGTTTAGCTGTGAGATTAATGTCATGCTCCTCAGCTACTGCCACTAGGAGTTGCGTTCAGCATTATTAAAATAACACAGCAATCCACACAAACCGCCTTGTGCAGGTTTCCTTCCAGAGCAGGGTCCGACAGACCTAATTAAAAAATCTTTGCTACAGACACATTTTGTACCACTTTACATAAAATTGTGGATACAAAGGATTTACAACCTTTGCAATAACTTAGAAAAAATGATGTTGTGGTCAGTTATTTCAAACAAAAATAACAAGAGAGATCAATGTTTGTACATTTTGGATTAGTATCACACAAACTTGTAGTTTGGTAAAAGCACAAGGCTTTGTATCCTGTAGTCTGAAATGGTTATGCAGACATTAAATACAACCGAGGTTCAGTTATATTTGTTAATGTATTAACAATGTACAGTATAACACTTACAGTACAGTTAACATTGTTCAGTTAACAAGTTGACTGAATGCGTGAAATTAGCAAGTCTTACTTTCTAGCTGCAAACTAAAGAGTTTCATAACACATTTTTATATCAATAGCCTCATGGCAACATACACACAGAGCCAACTTTCATAAATTGTATTAGAACAAGTCTGTACATTGGAAAAAGCTGTCTTATCCATTTCCATCCATTCATCAAAAGACAACTCAAACACATTCAGGTTCAGTGCTCTCAGATACAGTATTAAATCTCACAAGTTTTTTCTTGCTGGAAGAAAAACATGTACTCTGTAATATAGTTTAGAATTTACTTTTGTGAGCAAAAAAATCTGATCATTCTGTTTTCAGGGGGGAAAGGTAAAATACTCTCTTACGTATAGACCTCTAATTTTACTTAAACAAATATTACAGTAAGATTATCATTGTAATTTGCTATGTTCCCCTGTAATTGTTAATGTACTGTATGAGAAGCACAGATAAATACTATGACAAAATAATTAATTAGTTGATATGAACAATGTCTTCAGTTCTACCCAAGTCTACAAGCCTGTACATTAGGTAAGCATTTTACCAATGTTATGTGAATAAAGTACCTTTCACAAGGGTATCAATGCAGAGTCATCAGCAAATGGAAAATTAAAACCCTCCAGCTATAAAGTGAACTTCGGTCTACAAATGATCTATCTGAGATAATCTATCAAGATAAGTTACAGAATTAGGTCATCAGTCTGCATCAAACTTGAGGTCCCCCTGATCTGTGCAATTTCTAAAAATGGAATTTCCAAAAAAGAGCCAGCGCTTCATGTTGGGTGGCAGAGGCTGAAGCATTCCAGAAGGAGTGATGATCCAGAAATACAAGCCTCATCCTGTCACCAGACACAGAGCATCTTGAGAGCTGGGAGGAAGCAGTGGAACGAATCCTCCTCACACACCATGAGGAAGATGAGTCAAGTAAAAAGTAAAGCCTTGCTGGGAATGAAGAATCACAGAGTTGCAGGGACATAATCATTCCTGAATTCCTTAGAACAATTGGGGGACATAGGCTTTGATGGATTCAGGGGTACAAATTCACATATCATGGACAAGGTTACAGGTCATTGCCCTGCCATGGACTGGCGTCCTGCCCAGGATGTACCGTGCCAGGATAGGTTCCGACTCCCCCTATGACCCTGAATTGGATGAGTAGGTTAGAAAATGGATAAATGAAGGCCTTGGTTTTTTGCCTTACATCAACAATTCATGTGAATCTGCTTTAAGAACAGGGTTTCAGTCCTGGTTGGAACACATGACATGGTAAAGGTCACCATCAGAGCCAAGTATTGTGCTGGGGGATCTGTTGTCTGATTTAAGATACTGTGTGATAACAGGGACTACTTATTTAAACTTCTGGCCTTTTTAAATTGATGATGTTTTGGATTGGCACTCTAGGGTAAAAACACTTTCACATGTAACTCGAAGGGAAAATCAGTGAGTTAAAAACACTGGAGCACAAGATGTAAACCTCAAGCCACGTGAGGTCCTTTTCAAGGCTGACCTGGGAATTCACAGTGAATAGGTTACCAAGGAGAAGCTGATCCTACACCTCAATAACCTAAAAAAGGTTTCACACCGATGAATGCTACCTTCTGTGGTCAGAAGATAGAGTATGTTAAGCACACAAAATATTGTGGTGTCACCTTTGCGTGGTGTACTGGTGTATTTTCTGTACTTTGAATGAACTCTCAAGTTCAAGAGACATTTAGAAAAACACAAAGGAAATCAAATTGAATCTCCTCTAACAGAATCCAACAGAAAACTTGGATTGCCAGCGGATCTATGCATTGTACTGCTCCCAGGTCTTCATCTACTCTCCAGCACAAAACTGCGCACAAGTATTCTCTAAAAGCATCCATAAGGTGACCTTGAATATTCAGGTCAATGCACGCAGTAGCATGAACCTCTAAAACAACCCCAAATCGCTGACCTATTTCATATTGCTCTTTTCTGATGGATCTCCTTTTGTCTCCAGCACCGGTGCAGCAGGTACTGAACTCCCCACCACCCCAGTGACTAATAACTCTTGAGGACAAGTACAGTAGATGGCACTCTTCGTGAGAATTCCTAACCAATGGTTCAGAACAGAGACAGCCGACATTGTGTTGTAGGAGATACCGCCATTCAGATGAGAAATTAAGTTGAAGCCTTGATTAGGTAGTCATTAATGGTCTGAAGACACTTTTTATAAGAATACAGGGTGTGAACCACAATCTCTTTATGTGTCCATCTGGTCTGCTGTATATTGAAGCTGTTAGGCGCAGCACATCAGCAGTGCATGAAAAGGATCTCCTCATACAAACACAATTGTTATTATTAAAAGGCTGAACTGACATATTATTATTATATTTCGATAATATGTTTTTCTCTCGCATATTCTCTTTTTTATTGGAACTTATTTTACACCCTATGAAGTTTATTAAAACCTCCAAATGTAATATAAATGCGTCAATGCAAAAGCTTTGTTTTTTAAACTTTAATTAAGCCATTTTACATCTAGACATAAAATGTTATGCAAACTCGGGGTGCTGCATATGTGGTTAATGATCTTAGTGATGAGTTATTTTTAAATAAAAGTGTTTTATTTTGTTAATGTTAACCTGCTTCTTTCAAACGCCGTGAGGCATGCAGCAACTTACTGCTCCAGTTATTAAGCTGCAAAGAAGCTTTTCGATATTAACAGATATCCTTATCATGGCTTCTAAATTTAGAATGTTTTCTCCTTATCTCAATAACATTGTTCTTATCATACTGAACAACACTATCTTTACAGATGTCTCCATAATATCCATATATATTTTTCAAGAATATTAACTCAACTTTAATAAAAAACCTGAAGTTTTAAACCAATGTGTTTTTTTAGGCAAGTTTTTTTTTTCTGCAATGTTAAAAGCAGACTAAGAAGATCATACAATCATGATATATTTCATTCGTCTAACATTTGGAGAATTCTCCTCTTTGGGGAACGTCTCATGCTAGAAAATCTTAGGTGTTTAGGGTTAACATTTTGACTTACATGTGAACCATCCTTAATAAACTAATTTTTATTAACTGATGCCAGTGTACCCTGTAAAGCATGTACCAGATATAAAATTGATGATCAGGCAACAGCCTTTATGAGACAAAGGCATTAAAGACTTTTTGGGTTCATACAAATCCCACATTCAATAAACAGCCAGCTATTTTTGGCAGAAGCTAGCATGTTTTTTTCCTAGCTGACTGAACCAGTTGAAGTTGGCAGGCAGAAGGCAGGATTTTGTCTATTAACGGGGATCCAATCAGAAACCTGCTGAATGTCCAGCTTCTTTAAAAAGTGCTGCTCTTGAATTTCGAAAGGAGGGCAGTTTAGGATTTATTAGAATAGCCCCGGCTAATTCAGACACAGGACACCAGACACTGACAAATAGAAAAAAATAACGTCCTTTTATTTCCCCCACAAAAAATCCAAATATTGGATAACGTAAACAAAGTTTACAGTCTCTTCCACTTGCCAATGATACAAATGCTGAAGCTGCTAAGAGTCTGTTTCTTTGTCTTACCATGCCCAAGCCTTCAGTAATCACCACTCCAATTCAATCAAACCAATCCAGGGTACAGCTTGTCGCTGCAAAATGCCTCTGGGAAGCTAAATGTTTATATTGTGTGGGAAGGAAAAGTAAATCCAGAGAGCCTCCTTCATCAGGCAAGGTTTTGCAAAGAGTCAACCAAGAATTCTAAGTCATCTGACTTTTCATATTGTTTTTTTCAACAGAGCCACTATTACAAGTTATACAAAGAGTGATGTATTGTTATGTTGAAAAAGTATGATGCAAAGAAATGACTATGGTCAATGGGAATTGCCAAAATAAATATATTTTGTAATCAGTATGACATAAGCCTTATTAATGCTGTCTATGAATGTTTGCCTTAGAGATTAGTTCAAGTAATGTCCCACAAAATATCATGTTAGTGCTACAAAATCTGCAAAATGAATTTTTCCGACTTGATCTTGATGTAGGTAGAAACTTTAAAAATTTCACATTGAGGTCTTTTTCAAGTCTTTTAATGATGTAAAATGAAATTACCTTAAACTCACAGGAGATGTGTTACAAGAAGATATTTTTCATTAAAAATGTTTTATGCAGGCATCTTCAACAAGCTACCTGAACAAAAAACATAACAGCGGTATTACAATTTGCAATATTAATATACCTTATAGGATTTCTTTTTTTCAGCCACAGAAAAGCAACATTATAACCCCCCCTCCCCCGCCCCCCCAAAAAAAAACAATGCAAACATCGTTATTGTTCAATTTAACACATGAACTGCAAGGGCAATGAAAACACCCAAAGAAATCGGGATTAACAGTGTTTACTTCACAACCTTGGATTATTAAAATTAAGGTCATAACATATTCCATAGCATACTGTTAGAAGTGTAAAAAAGACTGAAGTAAGAAAAAATAATAGCAAAAAATAAAAACAGGTGATGGGATGAGTATAAAGCACTAGTGAAAACTAACTCACGTTCCAAAGGGACAGAAATCAGTTTTCTACAAATCACCAATGCGATATTCTCTGTACAAAGCATACTGCATTTAACCCTTTTAATATCAGAGCACATTTTCTGCATTACTGATCACTTGTTTAACTGCTACTTAATTGTATCTTTTGTTAATAGTGACATTTTTACATGTGCTCAACATTTCTTCTCATTCAAGGCAAAACTAAGCCTCACAGTATGTAAGAAAATAAACAGCTCCCATCATTTGTAAAGCCATGACCTCCATCCAGAAACAGCAGTCAAGAGCAGATGTCATAAATATTAATAAGGATCCTTGACAAGCCCATAAAGGTTTTTTCTGTTTCCAGTGCCAACAGCACTTTGTAAAAAAAATAAATTCCTTCTCCTTAAGAATCCTGTCAGGTTCAAATTGTTGCCGTCATGCTTTTTAAGAAGACATAGCAAACACTTTAAAACTTTGCAAAATCGTCTTTGTGATAAAAACACTGGTGGTGTGGACTTTATTGCAGAACATTGTGGTTTTAACAACGTTACACATTACAGCCTGCTCTCAAAGTGAGCGACTCGTGTTTACACCACATAGTTGTGGTAAGAAAAGACATACCCCATCACCAGCTGATCCTATTTCCCCAGCCCTCCCTCTGCTTCCTTTCAACTCTGTCAAAACAGCTACAGCAACGCTACAGCTTTGACAAGTTTGTCTCGGCTCCTAATCTCCTACCTAGAAAGGAATGGCTGCAGGAAGCAAAACCTTCCTTCTCTCAATTAATCAAGCAAAGCCAACACTGCGCACCCAGCCAAATACATGCAATCCAATGGACAACAGAGGGACTTGCTTTTAGGGTCACTGTAACGAGAGGCGTATCAATAGCTTAGACAGACCTTGCAAAATTCCAAGCAAAGGTGTCATTTTGGAGAAAAAAAAATCTCCCTTTGTAAGGTGGGATAGATGTGATAGAAAGAAAACATAACTTTTTTAAGTCATTTGTTTTCAGTATTTTACATATTGAACTGCTGACAGGAATATTATTTTTGCTGACCCTAGTGTGATCATATATTCACTTTCTGTCTGAGGTCAGATTATACTGATACATTATTACCACCGCCCTGAGAGAAACTGGTGAAGTTCATTTTAAAAAGGTTAAAGGATTAAATGCAATTCAATAATGCAGTTACAGTAAACAAACTAACACAGTAACAGATGGGTTCCATTGTTCTGATATGGATTTTTGGAATGCATTTTTTAACTTAACAGAAGTTCCCGTTCCTAATATTCAAGATGTTCATAAAACGGTTCAAAATCAAGTATTTCCTCAGGTGTGACATGGATAGCTGAATTATACAGTTTTTTAAATGTGAAACTAGATGCAAAAAATAACAAAATAAATAATTAAGTCTCACCAACCTACCAGTAGCTGTAAAATTGTGCTACATTATAATTCCCTTTAAAACTTCAGATTCTAGTTTTGATGTATTTTTCCAAATATCTGCAAAGTATCCAAAGTTTAAAGATAACCTTTTTAACATAAGAGCACAAGCACAGTATTGTACTACAAAATAAGCCCCTACCTGCCTTAGATGCCAAGTCCATTTTGTAAACCTTAAAAATACACGACCATAAATTGTGAGACTATTCTGTACAGGTACATTTGCCTTGAAAAAACAGGGCTTTTCCACTCAAACATTCACAAGCTTTAGATTTAGTTATCCTGTGTCCCTGATGAAGTGAAATAATGGATTTTTTTCACGAAAGTGAAAGACTTGTTTACTTCTTCCCACCTATTTTAGGTATTAGGCACTTTTATTCATGTTCACATATACAAATATAGCATAATTTCTCTGATTTTCCAAACATTACAGTTTAAAAGGAAAAATCTTTGGTCTGTAAACACATTAGGTTTATGCTTATTTTATCTCCAGAGTTCACATTTCAGAAAATGAAATGCATCAGCTGGGAGCTGCAGCGGTTTTTGATGTTATCTTTTGTCTGTTCTATTGACTGAAAAGTGCATACGTATCTGTAACTTCTAAACCCCACATTCCATAAAAATCAAGCAGCTTCTGCACTTTCTTGGGATCGATACATGCACAACAGCATGACGCAGATGCCTGGATCTCTGCTATTTATTTTCCTACATTCTGACTATTTTATGATTGATCAAAGATCAAAGCCAATTCTGTAATAATAGTCCAGTTCTCCGTGCGTCACAAACCTTGCTGAATTACTATAGTTTGGCCTCCCCAGTACTTGCTGTATTGAGGCTTTGGGACTATTTCTGCTTGCCCAAGTTGTCATTGCAGCTTTCTCATGTCCTCTGCACAGAAAGCTTAAGCGCTAGGCTTATGACAGACCTCTGTAGAGTTGAAACCAATTTCCCTAACCTTTAGATCTTACTCTAATATAATATGAAAAACACAAGGTTTATCAAATATGAATGCTAGAGCAGATCATGAACCCACCAAAACACATATTCAATTGAATAACTGGTTCAACCCCTTTTATACATAGATGCAGAAGCTTCCCTTATCTCTGCGTCCATTCTTTTAATTACAGGGCAACCAGGTCGAGTAGGTATGTTGCTGGCAGGCGAACACAGGCTGCACTTGGGCGATGTAGTAATTATTGAAATTGGCATCGGCCACATAAGGGGCAGGCTGGTAGTAGCAGGTGACATTGGCCACATTTGGGATGATGTTCTGCTCTGCCAGGACACGGATGGCTAGCATGGTGATAAGGTTGAGGGTCTGTCTCCTCTCGTGTCCCATTAGGCACACTGTACTTTCATTTACCACCCCGTGAAGAGTCATTAAATAGTCATACTTGCGGTCCTCCAGCCCCACAAAGTGGTTTTGTAGGTAGGACTCCAGCTTTCTCTGTTGCTCTCCTATGTCGGAGAAGTCAATGAAAAATCGAGAGCACATGTACCGCTGGAGAGACTTGATCTCGGTCTCGGAGGCAGCTCTGAAGCCCCTCACCAGCAGATTGCAGTACTTCAGGAGGCCTCCACCTCGGATCTCTTCAGGGTTCCTGGTGGCAATTATTTTGTGACAGAGGTGATCCAGGGCTTCTTTGAAGTCTCCATAGACACTCTCCCCGATGATGGTTGGGTGAAAGGTTTCGGTCATGGGGTTCTCGGAGCATTCGTAAAAAAGCAACAAAGAGTCCAATTTGATCTGGAACGAGTCGACGCTGAATTCAAACTGGCGCCGAAGGGAGTCCACAAATTTCAGTTCCACATTTTTGCCACTGTTGTTAGACAAGGAAATGAGGCTCCACCGGTCCGAGTCATTGCAGACTTTCACCATTTTCTGAACATAAGCTTCCTTTAAATGGAAAAAAAAAAGCTTTACATAATTCTAAGATTAAATAAATCATCATATACCCCATAAAAGGTCTGACAGGCAGATCAAAGACAATTCTCCTTTAGCTGGTCATTTAATAGAATATCAACATTTCCACATTTTCTTATTATGTGTTCTCCTATAATACAGTGTTGTAAAGGAATAATTTATGTCATTACTACATTGGAAGAGATGATATTCAAAAGCAAGAGTGAATGTATTCAAGTGGTTGTATTAATTATTGGAACGAGTAAAGTAAATATTTTGGAAAATAGCCCTCTGCATATAATTAACCTTAATTATTTAAAGAAGCTGCACTTACTTTTTCTACTCAAGGAACATTATCTGAAAGCAGCAATTAGTGTAGATCCCCCTTTAAATTTACTTAATACAATCTCCTTTGCAAAAAATCGTGCTTCACACAGCTACATTTTAACAGGTGACTGTCTTATTTTAAATCACACTGAACTAAATTAAATACATTTGTAAGTTAGAAAGATAAAAGTTACCTTTAAAGTTAAAGGTGTTATCTTTTCTTTGTTCACCCCTTCGGGTAAGAAATCCAGGAGGCAGTCCAAAACGATATCCTTGACAGTCTGAAACTCCGCTTCACCTTTAAGATCTGCACAAAAGATGAGGTCAAGATCTTTGTACCCTAACCCACTGTCTTCGTGAAGGACATGACTGGCTGCAGACCCGTTTAACCTGACATCTCTCACGTTAATTTTCTTCTCCTCCAGACGACTCCTCACTACTTTAACTATTTGCCTGGGTTTCATTTCCAAGGTAGGGAAATTTCCTCTGCCATGGATCGGGATCGTCTCTGTTAAAATGATATCCAAACGCTGCACTTGTTCCCAGCTCAACACATTAAAATTTGTGCTTTCACAAGCAAAATTTATCCCACTAGCACTGACATTATCATCATCTGCCATCGTCAAAAATCTATATTTTGAAATTATGAAAGTTTCTTCCTCCTCTCCGTTCTTCAATTCTGTTCGCACGCCGGGTTGGTGTAGGTTGAACGCGTCCCTCTTTTTGTATTTAATTGTTTTTGTATTTTCTTTTCAAATTCTGGATACAGTGATTTGCTTTGCCTACTTATCATTCGTCTGCTGTGGACCGCGGCTGTTTTTCCTTCGCCACTTTCTTATGATAGTTTAAATATGAACAAATGTGCTCAAAGTCAGTCAGTAGCTGTTTCTTTCCCTTTTTTATGAATGCAACCGTTAAACATTCCTTCTCCGTCCGCACAGCTCTCCTGGGCTTTTCCAGATTTGCGGATTAAAGTCTCATACTAGTTTATATATTGTGGGGTTTCTGAAGTTCCGGCTGTGACTCATAGCCCGAGGGCACGCCTATAAATTTGCATGTATGTTCGGATAGCACTTCGCAAGCTTTTATGTATCTCTGTTAACTTCTTATGAGCTACGAAGGACTGCATCCCTCTTAATGTTTATTAACTTGAAACATTGCTAGTAAAATAAAGCTTGAAAACATATTCAGTAGCGCGTAATATTAATACATATCTACACACCACCATTTAAATTAGTATTTAAGAATTCTTGCAGTAATAGTAGTGGTGAATATAATGACAAAAACAACGATTTTTATTTTTTTTAACTTAAACCACAGGAACGCCTTTTAAAACGTATTTAAACTAATAAATAACAAGCTATGCAACAACCTTCTAGGCAAAGGTAGGGAAAAGCACGTATACTGTCGTGCTCTCCGTGGTGTCCGCGTTGTGAATTGGCAAATACCTCAACAAGCGTAATTTCTTTACCTACAGTAGAGCAGAAAAGAGATAAGTTTAAATGGCAGTCCTCTAGTCCAATCGGAGGTTTCTCAAAGACTTATCTTATCCACCCTCTGCTCCTCACGGATCAAAATCTGCGTAAATACACGATATTAATTATCTAATATGGTCTTGCGAGAAACTTTATGCAAATGCATTAATATTTTTATCAGTAATGTAAAATATCTGACAGTATCTTCAGTATTGTTTGTTTTCATATAAAATCATGACTGGAAAATCCTACATTCATAGCATAAAAAATGCAATATTTCAGCAAAATGTTATCTTACAAATGATTATTTAATCTTGAATTGTATGAGGGTTAATGAGAAAAGTGTGCAATATGGAAATGCTATGTAAATTAAGATCCATTTTCATATTATCTTAAAAACTTTCAGAACGTTTCTATATCATGGATAAACTTTTTTTTCTCATCGAGGTTTTTTTTTGCCGTTTTTTTTTCCTGCTTTCGTATTTAGCTTATCATCTCATGTCTAACTGGTACTTCCTATGTACAGTACATAACTCAATTGCAGTTTACATTTCGGCCATCTTTTAATGGCAAATCACCTTTTGAAAGGCCTTTGCATCCTACCCCGCAGAAAACATAGCAAGCTGTGGGCTAATGGTAGTTTCCACTTTTATAGGATGAACGTAGTTAATATTAGTCATAGAGTATCACAATGTTGTGTTTCAACAGCGCACTCTAGAGGGTCAAAGTGGCACTTCTCAGGTTCAATAGTTTACCATTGAATTCCACAGAGGAAAATAATCATAATTGCTTGGGAAAGTTACTTTAAAACAGTAATCCATTACACTTACACGTTACTTGTGGAAGGGATTATGTTTAAAAAATAACCAAGAACTTATTATCAATTGAAAAAGTTTACTCGAGTAATCCATTGTAAATGTAATGGGTTACTGTTTTTAACGAACTTACATGTTTGTACAGTACTTTGCGCTGAATATAGTGTTACATTAACATTGACAAAAACATAATACTGGTGTTGAACAACAAACCTTTCACAGACACTGCATTCTCGAGTTAAATGTAGACTTTGAAATAGTTGGTTGTTGCCCTTACAAATGTGCTTTCTTATTTTGTTACATTTTGTGCAAGTGGGGAACAGCACAGAAATGAGTGAAATATTTCAAACGCTTTGCTCCTTTTTAATTCCCACACCCATATCCACCTTGTTTCAATCCTTTCACATTTCTGTTATTTCTAAAAGTAACCGGTAGCAATAATAACTTGCCAGTGCCCTTTTAGCAAGTTAGTTCCAACATGTATTTGTGGATCTTAAAAATAATGACTGTTTTATTTTGTCTGAAAGTGATCCAAAATAGTGAGATATAGATAGCATTCAGAACTCTGGACAACTGCTGTTGTAAAGGTTGCAGGATGGTTTCATTCTGTTTACGGGTAACAGATCAAAAACGTATAGCCCAAGAAATCTTTTTAGTTCCACATTTTTTTTTGGCAATCAAGAACTATTCCACACCACATAGTCCATCAAACATTGAAGAACCATACTGAGTAACAAGTGACAAGAGAATCCCACTCCCACTTCGCTGAAAGTCCACTCTTCGTGTTACATCGAGGTCAAGAATCTTTATTTGTCTTATCACACAATGTTGATTTATAATTTGGTATTGTACATTCTTTGAAAATGATAGTTAATATGTTGTTGGTCTGCTGTTACATCTTCTCACTTGGTTTAGGATTACTTTAGTTAGTATCATATTACATCATTGTAATCCAGAGCTGTCCAGTCGTGGTCCTGGAGGCTGGATGTGTCAGCAGGTTTTCTAAGTTTCTTAATAGCAGCAGGATATGAGCTCTGAATAAGGTTACTTGAATTCCTTTCGTCATTAAAATTAAAAAATAAGTTGTAAAGCAGGTAATTATTATATTACCTAATTAACATAGGATATTATGGTAAATATAATAGTTGCTAAAATAAATGTAATTAAATATCATTGAACAAATTATGAGTTATACCAGTCAATTCTATACTTTACTCATATTTCATCTCATCCTACTGCAGTATGAGTGTGTTTAGGAATATTTCCAGAGCATACAAGTAAGATGAAGCAGCAGACATATTTCTTCCATATTTCAGAAGAAAATGCGAGTTGATTTAAGTGAGTGCCCTTTTTGCACACATTACCCATGTTACAGCTGCATGGTTTTTGTTTGGCCTTCCTTTTCATAACAAAGGATTTATTGTCAGACTCTGTAGAACTTTTATTTGTTAAGGAACAAGTAACAGGTTTATTCCACGCCGAAAAGAGAAGAAAGAAAACACAACGTTTCGGCCGTGGAACCTTCTTCAGGTGTGAGAACCTGAACTCCTTCTATTTGTTATCTGAGTTATGATAAAGTGAGAAAAGATGGAACAGATGTCAGTATTCTTTTCAGATATACAGTGGAAAGCAGAAATTTTCAGGGGTTAACAAAAGATGTGCACATTGCATGGTCTGCAGTGTATATGTGTGCACGTAGCGTGCTGTCTGCTTATACTGTATACTTGCTGAGATTGGGAAGATATGAAGACATGTAGCAAAAGCGACATATTATTGGATATTAAAATTTTAATTTTCATTGCACAGGTTGAGCTAATGTGTTATATAGAAGCTTCTTGGACAGGCCAGATTTAAAGATAATTACAACAGAAGTTGTTTTATTGAAATAATATATTTTTAAAAACTGGATTATAACTAGGGGAAGTGGTTTGTTGTTACTAGTGTGGAATTGTTACTATAATATATATTTTATATATAACTTGCATGCTTTAACTTTAGGGTTTATAAATTAAATGGGGAAACAATGAATGAAGCTGAGCTTGACCAGATGGATTCAGTCAGTACAAGAAGGATGTACAAGAGTCAGTATTTGCATAAAAGGGCTCAAGAGTCATAAGAATGCATGACGTTGGTGCAGTGGTTAGACTTGGAGTCTTAAATTCAATTTTGAACCTGGGGCACTATCTACAGTACATGGAGTTTGTACATTCTCCACGTGTTCACGTGTGTTTCTTCTGAGGGCACCAGTTTTCTCCCAAAGTCGAATGGCATAGTAGGAGCTTAACTGGCTTCTGGGAAGAGTGACCCTAGCATGAGAATGTATGTCTGTGTGTGCCCTTTGATAGACTGGTGTCCCGTCCAGGGTGTACCCTGCCTTGTGCCCGTTGCTTGCTGGGATACGCTCCGGCTTCCCCACAACCCTGCATTGAATGAAGTAGAAAATGGATGGATTAAGAAAAGCTACAAATGAAGGAGGTTGTTGCGTCCATCAACCTCATTTTGTTTCGAGTAGCAAAGTTTTCTTTGCATCTTGGAATTTCATCCAACACTTTTTTAAACATTTTAAAACGGAAAAGTCCATTGGCAAAAAGTACTGCAAATATTTTTTTTCCAATACAGCAGCGAATGGGCTGAAATTGAAAGCCGTTTATTAGATAATTGGGATGTGGTAACACTTGTCCTGTTTCGCTTGCAACCCTGTCCTACGTTACTCACAGCTACAGGTGGCCATGAGATCTTTCATCATTTCTAGTGGTCTGTCCACTCTAACTGCATTTGTCCCTCTCTGGGATTCTCGCACTGGTCCTCAGCTTGGGGGGGAGGGGGTGGGGGCCTGAATGGATTCCTTGTTTGTTCAGCTTTTTCCCTGGTATCTTCTCTCACACAAGTTTTGACTCGTCACACTCTCGATTTCTTGGTCTTTTGACAAGCTTGTACAATAGGCAATGCGGTGAGGTACTGTATTCATTCTGATTCACTTTATGGGACCCAGCTCCCTTTCATTCTTTTATCCTCCTCACTAGGCATTAGAGTTTTCAATTGGAAAACGTACTCTGTGGTGCTCAGTTCTCTTTCGTTCTCTTCTTCTTCACTACTTTAATTCTCCGTGCCACTCTTCTCTTTTCTTACTGTACTCTGCTACTGGCTAATTGCTTTCGGTTGAAGGTGCCTCTGTATGCACAATCCTGACATCCCCGCAGAGCGACAGTCAGTTTGCCGTTTCTTCCCCTTGTTATTCTCTCTTCATTCCTCCCATTTGCACTATTTTCCTCCATGTGTTTTAGGGCACTCATCCATTGTCTGCGGCTGTTATGAAACTGGGTGTTCTAATGATTCACTCTGTACTGTGCAGACTCCTGCTCACCTCTCTGTGGGGAGAAGGGACATTCCTCCCTGCTGCAGGACAGGGCCTCACTCCTGCAAGTGCTAACATCTCCCATCAGGCCTGATCCAGCAGACTGCTCCTGTTCCTCTGCAGGGCTCTTCTTTGCCTATGCCATATCCAGAGCCTATGATTTGAATGTTAGCATAGCATTTATTATATCTTCTTCAAGCTACCATGTAGCCTTTCACAATTACCAGGCAGCCATCTTGGCTCAAGGCCGCACCAGAAAGGAGTTTTTTTGATCGTGGATTGGACAGGCACCTTGCAAATTAACTTTCATCCTGTTCTATGCAAAGTGACCCTCATACAGACTATAACAACATTCAGTACACTGTATATATGGTGTAGGTGATTCTGAGCTGCAGGAAGCTATGTATATAAATACAATATATAAATAAGGATATGGGTGTTTATGTAGGTTTTTTATGCATTTATGTATTCAATGTCCACATCATGATAATGTGGGAAAGCAATAATACAACAAGCAAAATATTGTGTTACACAGCAAAGGGTGCAGAATGTAGGTCAAGGGAAGTTAAGCTCAAGTTTTACAATGCAGTTGTAGGACCTCACTGGAAGGTCAGATTTTGTCATCATACAGAAAGGATATTGTAGATTTAGAAAGAGTTCAAAGAAGAACAACAGAAATGAATTCTGGTCACATGGGATTGTCACATATAGACAGGTTATATGAGC